GTGGAATAATGATACAAGATTTATGAGTGTTGGTAAAAAAAAAAAATATTATTAAAATAAAACCTTTTTATCTATAAATTATTATTGAATAATATTTTTACACATTAAAATATTAAACACAAAAGGGAGCACAAATAAATAATAATAAAGAAAACAATAAGATTGAGAATGAAATTTATCAAAAAATACTATATATTATAAAAAATATTTCTTTTTTTTTTTAAAAAAAAAAAAGGGAAATGATTATATGTTTTCTATTTTATTACAATTTGTAAGTGAGGATGTAAATAAATAAGAATTCTAAAAAAGAATGAAATTTGGTTTTTTTCTAGTTACAAACGAGTTGTGGTTTTTGTAAAAAATAAAAAATAAAAATAAAATAAATTTTATTTTTTTGCAGTTATAAAAAAAAAAAGTTATAAAAACTATTATTACTATATATATTTTTTTTGAATGAAAATAATTTTTTTTTTTTTTTCTGTTTTAATTTATTTTCTTTCTTGTATTAATGATACAAAATGGTAGTGTTACAATGAGATGAAAGAAAAAAAAATAAAACAAGTCAAAGAAATCAAAAAGCAAAATAAAATAAAAAATATAGTAAAATTCGACCAGATTCTATATATAATTTATATGTGTTTTCTATTATTATTTTATTATTAATGAATGAATGAGATATTGTGATTGCTACACAAAAAAAAACAAATTTACAAAAAAAAAAAAGAAAAAAATTTGACAAAAAAATTATATTGAAAAAATAAAAGAAAAAAAGAAAAAAAAAAAAAATTTAAAAAAAAAGTTAAAAAAATCAAACACCTACAGGCTATAGTAAAATAAATATCTAGTTTTTTTTTTTATTTTTTATTTTGATTATTTTGATTATTTTAGTTATTTAAAATAATTATAATATTATTGATTGATAATTAATTATAATTGTTGTTTTTGAAAAAAAAAAAAAAAAGACTTATTATTTATTTTTTATTGAGAAAAAAAATTATTATTTTTTATTTATTAATTAAAAACTAAAATTTAGGATTTAGTTTAGTTTGACTATTATTACTATTGTTATTAATATTATTATTATTAATATTATTATTTTATTAAAAACTATTATTTTTTTTCTTTTTTTTTTTTTATAATTTTTTTTTTTTTTTTATTTATTTAGCCCATTATATAATTTAAAAAAAAAAAAAAATAATTAAAATAAAATAATTTAATTTATTAATTGTTTAATTTGATTTCGATGAAAATTTAGTTAAAAAAGCTTTTTATGTTACCTTTCTTTGTGAAATTGAATAGGGTTTATTATGAAAATGCTCTTGATTTTTAAAAAAAAGTAATTACCATACACAAAAAGGCCCCGATAAATAATTCTTTTTTTTTTAAATTTAAAATTTTTTTTTTTTTTTGAATTATATGAAAATAAGTGCATGCCTTAAAAAAAAATTATGTTGTGGATTATCACTGGTTCACAGAAGTTGATTTGAGAATCTACCAAATTTATTGTATATGGAGTTCTTTTTTTAGCGTTTTTGAGATTTATTTTTTGTTTAGTGTGTCTCTTGATCTTTTCCTAGTGTTCTTAAAATGGTTCACCAATTCGTATTAATAAATCCTCTTCGCAGTGGAATAAAAAATATCACACCATTGTTTTATTTTTAGATATTTAAAATTTACCACATATTTTTTTTTTATGTGGTGTTTTTATATTTATTTTTTTGCGTTTTTTTTTATTTTAAAATTACTTTTTTATGATCATCAAATTTCCCAAATTAGTTTATATGGGGTATTTTCTTTCTTGTATTACCAGGCTATAAAATAATTTATTTTTTATATAATAAACAAAATATGATCTGTGCAAAAGAACCATTTCATTATTTCCGGAAGATTGATGTCGAGGGTTTAGCATATTTTTTTTTAAAACAGCAAATTTATGTAGATCTCTATTACGAACTATTATGTCGAATTTTTTTTTATAGTAATAATAATATTTTTTTATTTGAAATATTTTTTTTAGATTAATAGAAAATATTATAAAAAAAATTATTATGAAGTTTAATTTTGTTTTTTTTTTTTAAAAACAGATGTTATAGATTCAACAGGTACCAAAATATTTTATTAAAAGAGCACGAAGGAAAAAGTTGGAGAAAAAGAAAGTTAATAGATTTATATAATAAAAAAAGTACCTTGAAAAAAAAAGAAATGAATCTTGAACATCTTAAAAAATGAAAAACTAGGATGATACCATGCCACTCTGTTGCATTGATGAAATAATTTTAAAAAAAAAGTGTGGTAAGGATTTTGTTTTTTCTATTTTTTCGTTTTTATTGCGCAATTTATTTTAAAATAATAATTATCTGTTCATTAAAAAGAAGCTCAAGATTTATTTATAATAATTACAAAAGCTGACATCAAATATTCACCATTGACAAACCGTTTAAAATATAGCAAAATATCTCAAACCGTTTAGCTTTTAAAAAAACATAAAACTAACTTCATTCATTTTTTACAAAAAAAAAAAAAAAAAAAAAAAATAATAATTATTTTACTATTTTTTATTTTATTATCTTTATTTATTGTATTAACTTATTATTTTTTTTTTATAAAACATTAGAAGTTTACAATATTATTATTCCTCAAAAATAATCACAATTTTTTGCTAACACAAATATTTTTTTTTGTAAAAATTATTTGATTTCTAAAAATTATTCAGAAATTATTTCTTTAGTTTCAAAAAAAAAAATATTTTTTAAAAAAAGATTTTTTTTTAAAAAGCATGGACATTTTATTTGAATTTTTTTAAAATAAAAACCATGTTGTTTTAAAGTGTGGTTGTATTTATTTTCTAAATGATTATTTTCTTTGTAGTTTTTAAAAAAATATAGGTGTTAAAGTGTTTTGCCCTAATTTTAAAGACTATCTTTGGTATAATTTGCTTAATCTTTAGGTAAGTATTTTCACAATAAATCACTTGAATAATAAAGATTTACAAAGGTATCCACATAATTTAAATGTTTTTAATTTTTTTAATTTTTTTTTTTTAAATATTTAATTGACAAAATTTTAACTATAGGGAACTTTTTATCTCTGTGTTATTTAATCCATAATGGTTACAAAGTTTTCTAATATTGTGGCTGGGCTGTTCTATTGATTTTGGATAATAAAGGGTGTGTGCACTGCTCTTTCGCTAATAGGGTCTGAATATTCAAATATGGTTTTTAAAAATTATAAATTTAATAAAAAGCTGTATAGTTAATTACCTATGGCTCTGTATTATAAATAAAAAGTTTATATTTAACAGAAATTTCTAAAAGTGTATTTTTTTTTTTTTTAATTACTTTTTTATTTTTTATTTTTATTATTGCGCGATATAATTATAAATATTATTATTGTTATAAAATATTATTTATTATTATTTAAATATTATTCTACAAATTTTAATGAATTAATTAAAATGTTTTTTTTTTTATAAAAGTTTTAATTGATTTTTCTTTTGGTTTTGTTTCCATTTTGGTTGTTTATAAAATTCAATACGATCTATACGGAAAAGGTCTTTAAACTCCTCATCTGAAAGATAGGTCTCTAATTTTAAAATATCTAACTCGCCCTTTGATTTTTGTTCTAGAATTTTTTCATAAGTTAAGGTATTGGCGTTGGAGGGTGTTGGAGTACTATGATCGTTTGTTGTAGTTGAGGATTCAGCTTCGCTATTCGTTGAAACACTACTTGATGTCGACAAACGATTGCTTGTTGGGTTTGTCATAGATGAGCTTAGTGATGGTGATGAGCTTGGGGGTTGTTGTGATTGTTGCTGGGTTAGGTTTGGAGTTGAGACACTCAATGGCGATAATGACAAATCTGATTCATTGGCAGTGCTTGGTGATGAGGATGATGGTGGTTTGGTTGGTGTATTGTTTGCGCTAGATATGGTGGAATTATCATCATCATCATCATCACTTAATGGAATTGAAGATTGATCGATTTGAGTCGACTTTTCTCTTCTTTTTCTTAAAGTTAAAGCACCTGTAATTTTAGAAAGACGCGAGGTTGATTTAGATCTTGGTCTATTACCTTTTTCAGCAGAGTTGCTACTTAAATTGGTATCGCTGCCTTCTGATGGTAGCGAAGAAGGTGAAAAGGTATCTCTTTTCTTACGTGACTGCTTTGGACTTGCTTTGTTATTTAATTCAGCTTCATCTGGCTGTGGAGTATTATCACTATTAATTTCTGGTGATACTGGGGAGTTTTGTGGTTTTTTTTTATTAAATAATGAGCTAATAAAAGAACTAACTGGAATCGAAGGTTCAGATGATGAGGAGGGTGAGGTTGGTGGTGTGATTTCTTTACTTCTTGGGGTTTGATTTGGTGGTGTAATATTAGCATTATTAATGTTTGGTATATGAGTTGGTGATGATGGAGTATTTGGTGTGGCGGTAGTGGTAGTGGTGGTGTTTGTTGGTATTGAGGAGGATGAGCCAGTACCGGTGGTAGAGGCAGTTTCAGATCCAACTCTTTTCATAATTTTCTTTCTTTCAGATAATTGCTGCTCAACAGTTAGACCTTCGTCATCTTTGTTTAAGTGGCTGTTTTCGATGATCTTTTGTTCGATTAGTTTTTGTTTTTCGTGAATTTGATTAATTAATTTTTGAATTTCACTAGCTAATGTGTTTTTATCTTTGGATATTATTAAGAGTTCTTTACCTAAACTTGATTTTAATTCGAATTGGTTTGGATGGTTTGGATCTTCAATAACTTGAGAGGTAGCTAAATCAATCATATCTATATATTTAACTTTACGGCTATTTGGGTCGGATGAAGAGGAGAAAATACCTTTCATTGGTTTACCATAAATGACTACATCATTGAAAATATACACAATTGTTTCCAATTTCTTATTATTGAAGAAAGAAATATTATTTATATAACGACGACTTGGTGTAAAGAGTTGTGGAACCTTACCGACGAGAATAGACTGAATTTCTGTGAATTTTTGGAAATTTTCACTTTCTCTTTTACGCTCGTTCAAGAAGGAGGCTACATCTTTAAGTTTATCAAGAGCATTTTTTAAATTTTCGTAATCTGGATGCTCTGGCCAAGTATGCTTAAAGAGATCTGTAAGTAAAAGGTAATATCTGGGTACTCTTTGTACTATTTAATAAAAATAATTGTTAATTACTGTTTTTTTTTTTTTTCTTGTTTTCCACATCTAAATAAATAGTTTAATAATTACCTGGCATAATAAGAAATGCTGTAACATCAAAATTATTAATTTCTGGTTTTTCTTTTAATTCAGTATATGCCAACATAAATTTTGTGTTCTTTTTCAATTCGGTCAATGTCTCTAATGCAGTATCATAGTTTTGTACATAACTGGTATAAACTTTAAAAAATGCTGAAATTGAAATAAACATATCACTGAGTTTCTGATAAACATACCATTTACCAGGTTGGCAACGTCCCTTTAATTGTTCTAAAAATTTATTACCAAAATTATAAATAATTGAAATATCTGAAAATATTAATTTTTGTTGTTCTTTTGTAATTAACTCTTTTGAAAGTAATGGTTCCATATAATATTTGATACATAAATTTAAATTTTTTACATAATCTTCTTCAGTCTTTAAAATCTCTGATGCAACTTTTTCTCTATATGCAACATCACGTCCTAAAATAAAAAATAAAAAATATTAATATTTGATGATGGTTATACATAAACAACTTGAAATATCTCTATAGTTATAATATTTACTAATTTTTTTAACCATTTGTCTAGTTTTAAAACCTCTAAATAATGCTTGGAATCTAATAAAACCTCTTTCGCATTTTGCAACTAATAATGATAAAAAGAAAAATAATTAATATTTTTTAAAAAAAAAAAAATTATTAATTTAACTAATATAATATTTACCATCGATCTGATTACCAGCCAATAAAGCCATTCTTGCTTTTGCAACAGCACTTCCAACGGGTCTTGGTTGTCCAGTTGATGATTTTTCGGTATAGTTTTTAATTTGTGATAATTGTAATTTTAAACGATTGAGTTGCTCACCTTGTGGCATTTTAATTGGAATATTTTGATTTAATGGCTTGAGTGGTATTTGAAAACCTTTATGAATACATGCAAATTGAGCTAATGATGATAAACATTCTACTACTCTAACAAAATTTTCGCCTTCATATAAATCATTTAAATTGAATAGTTTTTGTTTTGGAAATCCTAAATCTTTTAATGCTAGTAAAAAGAAATCTATATTATTTTTAAATTCTAAACCCTGTGATATAAAATTAAAAATTGTTAATATTTATGACTCGTTATAACATATGATATATATTGTGAATATTTGATCTTACTAATTTCGATTTCTCTGTAATTACTGGAACAATATTTGGTTGGATAATATTTGCTAAATAACATAAAACAATACCATTTTTTAAAGCATCTAATAAGGCCTCTCTAATCTTGAGTTTTAAAGTTTCTTCGATCCATTCTTTTACCAATACTTCTGTTCTTAAATAATCTTTAACTCTTTCATCTGATACATTTGAAATATTATGAACTAAAGTAAAATTAGATTTTGTTCCTGTTAATGCTGGTCGGGGTTGATTGTTTTTATTGTTACTATTATTTTTATTTGACATTTTAAATTATTTATGTCTATATTATTATATATTTTATTTTATTTATTTTATTTTATTTTATTTTATTTTATTTTATTTATAAAAATTGAAAAAAAAAAAAATTAGGATTATATTTAAATATTTTATATTTTATATTTTATATTTTATATTTTATATATTGTTGGTTTAATAAATAAATAAAAAAATAATAATTAATAAAAATAATTAACTCAGAGTTGATGTATTTTTAATGAGTGATAAAAAAAAATAAAAATTTAATTAAAACAAAAAAAACAAAAAAAAAAAAAGTTTATTGGGTGGGTGGTGGTAATAGTGTTTTTTTTTTTGGGTGAATCCTCAAGATTAGGGATATTATTGTTAAATGTGTGTGTATGTGTTAATTTATAATATTATACAATAGATTATATTAAAAACACAAGCACACAAGCACACAAAATCTTACATATCAAAAAAACAAACTCGATTAATATAATAGAGTATCGAGTTTGTAATTACTTGTTTTATGATTAAAAAAAAAGTGGGAGGTATTAAAATGTGTGTATGTGAATGTGAGTGTGTGAGTGTGTGAGTGTGAGTGTGTGAGTGTGTATGTGCATGTGGTATTTTTGGGATGGTGAGTTGAAAAATGTTTGAACAATTGAATTTGGGATCATAATTATATTGATTTTTTTATTTATAAGTATAGCACTAATAATAATTATAATATAGAAGGTTATTATTATGCCAATATGAACAAATATTTGATGCCATTTCTCTTTTTTTAAAAGCCAAGTTTATTTTTACTTGATTTTACTTTTTGTAATAATATTCTTATATTTGAAAAGGAAGTGTTATTTTTATTATTATCAATTATTGTTATTATATTTGTTTCATATCACCCACACAATAAACACACTAACCGTACAAATAATAATTCCAATTGATTTTCCTCTAATATATAAACTGTTTCTATTTAAAATACATTACATTTAATATTACTATTATTATTATTACAACAAGGTTAGTATTTCAAGGAATTTCACTACTACTTCTACTTTGATATTATCTTTGTGATATTTTTTTTATTAATTACCAATTATATTAATTTGATTAAATACTATAAAAACGACTCGTCAATCGTTTTAATACTAAAATTAATTTTATCGCAAGATTAAAAAAAAATAAATTAAAAATAAAAAACAAAAAAAAAAAAAAAAAGATTATATTATACTATAATATACAATGAAATAAATAAATAAATAGAATAAAAATAAATAAATAAAAAATAAATAAATATTATTGCAAAAACAAAAATTGATTATTTTTGCATGAGATTATTATCATAAGAAAAAAATTTAAAAAAATAAAAAAAAAAAATAAAAAAAAACTTTTTTTTTTTAGTTTTTTAGAAATTTTTTTTTGTGTGTATAAAGATACTATGGATTTAGATGAAAATACGACTTTGATTGAAGGATAAAAAAAATAGAAAAGAAAATAAATAAATCACTTTTAATTTTTAATTTTTTTTTTTTTTTAAAAAATAAAAAAAAAAATATATATTATATTATATTAATTTTATTCGGTTTAAGGTTTAAAAGTATTTATGTTGCAGTTGTTATTAATTGCAGTGTGTTGATGGTGATTTGTTGTTGTGAGTTGAGTTTTTGAATTTATTTTTCATATATTAGTAGTATTTGTGATGTGGTGAGTGGGGTTTTTATTTATTTATTTATTTATTTTAAAAGGTTTTGTGTTGAGATTTAAATATTGCATTTAAAAAATATTTAAATTAAGTAAATGAGGAGGTGTAGTATATTATTATTTATTATTATTAGTTTTATTGTTGTTCAGTTGATTCTTCGGCTGGTTGTTCTTCAGTTTCAACAGTTCTTGTAATATTTAATGGGCTGTATGGGTAAAGTGACCAATTTTTATCGAGTGAGTTGGTGATTTCTTGTTCTTTATTATCAGTTTTACCGTTCCAAGTTAAAATACCAAAAGCTTTACCATGCATAGCATTGTTGGTTAACTATTATATTGTTTATTATATTCAATATAGGAATAATATTAATTAATATACATATTTTATAATATTTTTGGGTAGTAGTAGTTAATTTATTATTAAGGATTATTTATTATTTAATGTTTCTATTAATTATGACACATTTATTGATTGATTGATTGATTGATTGATTGATGATCATTAATAATATCTATATTCCAAAAATGGTGATTTTTCGTTTATTATGCTAAATGATAGAAAGATGAGATTTAAATTTGAAAACATACTGGTGAGTTAATAAATTTAGTTTTAGTGACAGTCCAATAGGTTTCAGGTTCTGACCAATTCTTTTTACAGATTTTAGTACCAACACCTTTATTTGAGAGTGAAAAACAAATATCTAAAAAGTTTTGACCATCTCTTTTATTTTTGGCTAAAGCTGGGAATAATTTTGATAAATGTTTGGTTGTAGACATTTATTTTATAAGTGTATATATATATAATTTCTAATAAATGAAAATGAAAAAAAATAAAAGCGAAAAGATTACGAAAAAAAAAAAAAAATTAAAAAAAATTAAAAAAAAATTAAAATTTTTTTTTTAAAAAAATAATTACAAAAAAAATAAAAAAAATTAACCATTGCCATTTATAAATATCTATAAAACAAATTAAAATATACATACACAGATACACTTATACATACATATATACAGGTACAGATACACATACCATACCATCATACTGCTATATACATTAATAAAATTATAGGTGTGTTATAGAATAATTTGTTTAAAATGATTTCATTATTTAATAAATCACTTTTAAAAACCCCATATAGATATAATAATAATAGTTTAAATATTAATAAATCAATATTATACAATAGACCGCAATATAGTTATAACAATAGATTATTTACAACCAATATTAATAATGGAACACTTTTATTAAATAATACTGATGAGGCTAGTTCCAGTCTTAATCCATCGCTCAATAATAATAATAATAATGAAGAGTCATTAAATACTAGTAACAATAGTAACAATAATAATAATGAAAATCAACAAAAAACAAAAAAAATTAAAATAAAAATTAAATCAAAAGATCCATATTTGGAATTGGCTGGAAATAAAAAAATTTATTTTAGTAAGCAAAAACAACAAGAGCGATCAAAGCTAAGGGAGCTTGACTTGGTTGATAAACCATTACTGGATGTAGATTTAAATTTCAATCTTTATAACCATGGTTTTGATAGCTCACAAAATTTTACAACGGATATATCAAGACATAATGACACAGAATTAATATCGTCTATACCATCAGCTATTGTTGATAAACCAAAAAATATTAGACAATCTAAAAGAAAGAAATTGGAAATGGCATTATCAAACATGGCCAATGGTAATAGTAATGATAATACAATAGCCACCAATAATGTAAATAGTAGTCAAACTGATAGTAATAACAGTAACAGTAATATTAATGTAAATATAAATAATGTAAATAATATGCCAAATAATAACAACAAAATAGAAACCAATATTTCACAAGCTTCAGACTCGTCTTCACCAACAATATCTACTATGGCAGATGGGGCACAAAAGCATACAGTTTTAATTGATGGAACATTAATGGCATACAAGGTTCATGCCACAGGTAAATCACTATATCATTTAGGAGAAAATGTTACAATTCTATATGGATTTATTAGATCATTATTAAAAGTCATCAATAATTTAAATCCTGTAGATAATATTGTTGTTTGCTTCGATCCAAAAGGAGGTAGTAGCTATAGAAAGGAAATGTTCCCTCAATATAAATCACAAAGACCAAGTACTCCACAGGATGTATTGGAGCAATTTAAAAAGTTACCAGAAATCACAGATTCATTAGGTATTAAATTTGCAGTTATGAATGGATTTGAATGTGATGACTTATTAGCAAGTTATGCAAGACAGGCATGCGACAGAGGTGACCGTGTAACTATTGTATCAGAAGATAAAGATTTGCTTCAATTAGTTAGAAAAAATGTTTCAGTTTATAATGTTAGAACCGATACAATGATGGATGAGAGTGAAGTCTTCAATAAATATGGTATTGAACCAAATAAACTTGTAACTCTTCAAAGTTTAATAGGTGACAAGGTAGATAATATCCCAGGTATCCCAAAAATTGGTCCAAAAACAGCCACAGAAATCATTAAACAATATGGTACACTCCATGAAATCATTGATAATATCGAAGCATTACCCCAAAAATTTATTGACCCAATCAAAAATTCAATTGACCAATTAATGGTATCATATCAATTGGTAACATTGGACGAAAATGTAGATTTAGAAATTCCATTAAGTAGTCTAGAGTTTAAACCAATCGATAAAACAAAGGTAATTATTTAATTGTAAATATAAAAAAAAGAAAAAAAAAAAATTTCTAATTTATTTATTTTATATTTTAGTTTTTAAATTTTTTAGAAAAATATCAATTCAATACAATTAAAAATCAATTAAGAAATTATAAATTAAAATTTTTAAATGAAGAGGGTCAAGAAGAATTGGCAAGTAATACAAGGGAATATAGCAAAATTGAATATGATTATGTCGATGATGAACATTATAAATTTGAAGAAATGTCAAATGAAGAAATTAATCAATTAAAACCAAAGAATGTAACTATGGTTAGGGATGTTGAAACAGCCAAAAAAGCCGTTGCAACATTAATGCAACATAAAAATAAGTATCATGCATGCGATACAGAAACTATAGCAATCGATTTAAAGAAAGTTTCACCAATAGGTCATGGAAGAATGATTTGTTTTAGTATTTATTGCGGTCCTGATGTAAAGTTCTTTGATGGAAATACTCGTCTATGGGTCGATGTAATGGATGATATTAATGGCGAAGCTGTATTGCAAGAGTTTAAAGAGTACTTTGAAGACGAATCAATATTAAAAGTATGGCACAACTATGCATTCGATAGACATATCTTTTATAATCATAATATCAACGTAAAGGGTTTTGGCGGTGATACACTTCATATGGCTCGTCTATGGAATGCAGCAAGACAGAATTCAGGTGGTTACTCATTGGAAGCACTCTGCAGAGAATTGTTAAATAAAACCAAAACTCCAATTAAAGATTTATTTGGTCAAAAGAAAATTAAAGCAAATGGCGAAGCTGGTAAAGCAATCACTATACCGCCACTCCAGCGTATTCAAAGAGATAGGAGATCAATATTAGACTGGATAGAATATTCTTCATTGGATTCAGAATTAACATGGTCATTAAGAGAAAATTTACATATGAAATTAGAAGATATGGTATGGACACAAAATTCGACAATGTGGGATTTCTATTATTTAAATTGGAGACCTTTCGGCCATCTATTAACTGAAATGGAGCAAAGAGGAATGAAGATTGATATCGATTATTTAAAGAATCTGGAATCAACAGCCTTTAAAGATATGGAAGAAAATAGAAATAGGTTTATTAGTTGGGCATCAAAGCATTCAGAAGGTGCAAAATATATGAATCCAGATAGTGATGCTCAAATTCAACAATTACTATTTGCGCCCGTTACCAATAAAAAGACTAAAGAGGAGATGCCAAAATCCAAAGACTTTGAAACAGAGAATGTAGAAGGAATTATAGAAGAGGGTAGAACCAAACCAAAGAAAAATATGTCATTTATCCTTGATGGTCTTGGTTTCCCATCCAATAGTGTAACTACAAGTGGTTGGCCATCAGTCGATGCATCTGCATTAAGGGAGTTGGCTGGAAAAAGCCCAGAAAATGGAAAGTTTGGTACTGCCTATCAATTCTTTGTTGATAAATCCGAAAATAAAGAAGAGGGTGAGGCATTGGGTAAAGAGGCATGCTTGGCTATAGCATCACTATTGGAGCTTGGAACTATTGGTACCCTTTTAAATACATTTATTATTCCACTTCAAAAGTTAGCAGACAAAAACTCAAGACTTCATACATCAGTTAATGTTAATACAGAAACTGGTAGATTATCATCAAGAAAGCCTAATCTTCAAAATCAACCTGCACTCGAAAAAGATCGTTATAAAATTCGTAAAGCATTTACATGCGAACCAGGAAACACTTTAATTGTAGCAGATTATGGTCAATTGGAGCTTCGTTTATTAGCACATATCACCAATTGCAAGAGTATGATTAGTGCATTTAAAGTAGGCGGTGATTTCCATTCAAGAACAGCAATGGGTATGTACCCACACGTTAAAGAGGCAGTAGATAAAGGTGAGGTATTATTGGAATGGGATGGTGATGGTGAACCACCAAAACCACTTTTAAAGAATATATTTGCAAGTGAAAGAAGAAAAGCCAAAACATTAAACTTCTCTATTGCTTATGGTAAAACTGCACATGGTCTTTCAACTGATTGGGGTGTAACACTAAAAGAAGCACAAGAAACTCTTAATCGTTGGTATGAAGATCGTCCTGAAGTATTGGTATGGCAAAGAAAAACCATTGCAACAGCACATTCACATAAGTGGACCAGAACATTAATGGGTAGATATCGTCATTTACCAGATATCGATAACAGTGCAAAAGGTATGAAAAATCATGCAGAAAGAGCATCCATCAATACTCCTCTTCAAGGTGGTGCAGCCGATATAGTAATGAAAGCAATGCTTATCATTGAAGATAATAAACGTATCAAAGAATTGGGTTACAAATTAATTATGCAAATACACGATGAGCTTATCTTGGAAGGCCCAGAAGAAAATGCTGACGAAGCTAGAGGTTTGGTTATGAACCTAATGAGCAATCCTCTAACAACTCCATTATTAATCGATTTGGTTGTAGATTGTAGATATGCTAAAACTTGGTACGAAGCTAAATAAAATAATTTAAAACAAATAAATAAAAAAACAAATAGTTTATTTTATTATTAATTTAATATTAAATAAAACATAGTTTAAATATTTAATAAAAAATAGGTATATTAAAAATATAAAAAAACACTTTATAGCTTTTAAATTAATAATTTAAATTTATTTCATTTTTAAAAAAAGAAATAATGTTTTTGGTTTATTGGTTTATATTTTTAAAAAAAAAGAAAAAAAAAAAAAGAAATTATGTATTTAATTATATTTGTTTAGTTTTCTTCTTCTCCATCATCCATACTAAATGATAACATACTTTCTGGTTTTTTCTTTTTATTTGATTTGATTGAATCTATTTTGGATTTGGTTGATGTGGTATTATTACTATTATTATTTAAAATTGTTTTTTTAACTGATTCTGTTGTTTTTTTTAAATTATTTTGAGAGGTATCTTTAAGTTTTGACTTTGTAACCATCGAAGCTGTGGGTTTTTGAAATAATATTTTACGTTCTCTTCCTTCTAATCTAGCCTGTTCTTCCTCGATTCTGTCCTCTTCAATTCTTTTATTTCTTTCTTCTTCGATATGTTTTCTCTTTTCTTCTTCCTCTTCTTTCTGCTTTTCATTAAATAGTTTTTCTGATTTTTTTTCATCCTCAATAGCCTTTTGAATAGCTTCTTGTTCAAAATCATCAGGTTGATCTGGTGCTAAATTATCATCATCTTTCTCTACATATTCTTTAAATTTAGCACTAATATCAACTTCAGTATTTCTTTTTAGATTTTGTAGAAATTTTGGTGTCATTGCATCTTTGTTAAATTCTAATTGATTTCTGCCTAATCCTTTTTTATTTGACATTTTTATATTGTTTATATATTTATTATTATTTATTAATTATTAATTATTTATTATTTATTTATTTATTTATTATTGATTCTATTTTTAAATTTTCATAAAATATTACAGGTATTAAAATTAATTAATAAAAAATGAATAATTTATTGTTAAATTCTATTAAAATAATAAAAAAAAATTTAAAAATTTTAATTTTTTTTTTATTTTTTTTATTTTTTTATTTTTTTTTATTTTTTACATTTTTATATTTTCTTAAATAAAACATAACTTTCTTTTAACCTTTTATAAATAATTATTTAATAATTTTACATAATTCTAAATATAAAAAAAAACAAAAATATAGCCATATAAATAATAAAAAAAAATAAATAAAAATAAATAAAAAATAAAAATTTTTTAATAAACCCCCACGATTATAATAATAACTAAAAGATTTATTATTAAATATGTGGAGAGTTGAACAAAGCTCAAATGAACCAAGTCCAAGATGTGCACATCAATCAGAGTCAATTGGTGATCATCTATATGTTTTTGGGGGATGGAATGATGATAATCAAATGTTAAATGATATTTTCAAATTCAATGTAAATACTTGGGAATGGGAAGAAATCAAAGTAATTGACAATAGTTTTATAACGCCAAGGAATGGTCATTCTTTAAATTCATATAATAGGAAACTTATAGTATTTGGTGGTGGTTCATTTTCAGGTTTTCTAAATGATATAAATATTTTTGACCCAAGTATGTACCATTACTATTAATGCAATATTATTAATAACACAACCATCATAAATGAATATATTAATTGTTTAAAATTTTAATATAGTAAAATTACAATGGACTTTAGTAAATACAACAGGTGATATCCCATCAGGAAGATCAAAACATTCATCAACATTAATATTTAATAAACTGTATATATTTGGTGGAGGCGATGGTATTAGATTATATAATGATATGTTTTGTCTAGATTTAGAAACATTTGAATGGAAGAAAATAATATATAACAATAGCAGTGGTGAGGCAATACAACCGCCATCAGCAAGATGGGGTCACACAATGGTATCATTAGGCGATAATAAACATATGGTATTGTTTGCAGGTCACGCAGGTACAAAAAGAATCAATGACTTGTATCTATTCAATATTGAAAGTAATGAATGGTTAACTGTAAATTTTGACAAAGATAGTGATGCCACTCCATTGCCCAGAGCAGGGCACTCAACATTAATGGTCGATCATCACATGGTTATTTTTGGTGGTGGCGATGGCCATATCATTAACGATCTCTATGGTTTAGATACTAAATGTTGGAGATGGTGGAAAATTAAAATCAATAATACTCCAGATGCAAGATGTGCACACTCTGCAACAATTATAAAAAATAAACTCTTAATTTTTGGTGGTGGAAATGGTATACAATGTTTTAAAAAACTTTTAATTTTAGAAAATTTAGATCAGTTAGATAATATTTATCAAAATAGAAATCAAGAACCTATAATTAATAATAGTAATAATAATAATAATAATAATAACAATAATATAAACCAACCAACATTATCATCATCTCCTCCGCAACCAAGTGTAAATAATATTTTAAAAATAAATAAAAACTTTGATCATATAAAAAAATCAATTTCTCAAATATCAGCAAATATTGAATTTAAATCAAAAAATATAGAAAATAACAATCATACAGTTTTACCACAATTTCCATCATTTAAAGAACATAATAGTAGCAATAGTAATATTAATAATAAAATTAATAAAAGTAATAAAATATCTATTAATAATGAAATAAGGAAAGATTTAAAGAATAGTTGTTTAACAGAATACCAGAGAAGAGGTAAGATTTTTTTCAATGTAATTTTAAAGAATTCTTTATTAATATATTAACCATTAATTTTTATATTTTTTCGCTATTATTAGATGTAAAATATTTTTTGACAAATCTGGGTATGGCAAAATATGTAAATAAATTTATAGAAGAAGAAATCGATACGACAGTTTTTCATTTACTCACAGAGGATCATTTAAAAGAAATTGGTATTAAATCATTAGGCGAAAGATTATTAATAATTAAAGGTATTAAAGAATCAACACTTTATATATTAAAAGGTTTACCGCCAATTTCTACCGATTTAGACCCCGGTAAAACACCAAAGTTTGTGGATGAAATTTAAATAAAATAATTTTAAACTACAATATTTTCTTATATATTTTTTAATTTGTTTGTATTATAAATTATTAATAGAAAAAAAAAAAAAATTAAACTTTTTATTTATAAATTAAACGTTGAGAATTTAATATTTGTGAGCTGGAATAATTTGACCTACGCAATTACCAAAACCAATTTGATAATCTTTACCTTTGCAAACACCAGACATAACAACAGTATCGTTATCTTGAATGAATTTTCTAGTTTCACCAGATTCGCCTAAAGAAATAGTTTTGGAACCTTTCCATGAAAGCTCTAACATTGAACCAAAGCTATCTTCAGTTGGGCCACTAATTGTACCAGTACCTAAGAGATCACCTGGGTTAAGATTACAACCGCTGATAGTGTGATGAGCAAGTTGTTGGCTGAGAGTCCAGTACATATATTTTAAGTTTGATTTGCAAATAGTGTGAGCTTCAGACATCTTTTCAGTTTTAATACCAACAGTTAATTCGATATCAAAAGTATTTTTACCAGATTCTTGGAGGTATGGTAATGGAGTTGGATCTTGATGTGGGGCATCAACGGCAAATGGTTGGAGAGCTTCCATTGTAACAACCCATGGTGAAATAGTGGTACCAAAGTTTTTAGCTAAAAATGGACCTAATGGAACGTACTCCCATTTTTGGATATCACGAGCACTCCAATCATTTAAGAGGACTAAACCGAAAATATGATCTTTTGCTTGAGAAATTGGAACTGGTTCACCCAAGTTATTTGGTACACCAACTAAAGCACCCATTTCTAATTCGAAATCTAAAAGTTTACATTGATTGAAAGTTGGTGCGGCATCATCATCACCTTTGGTTTGACCACATGGTCTTCTAAGTTTGGTACCTGAAACAACGACAGATGAAGATCTACCATGATAACCAACTGGAAGATGTAACCAATTTGGCATTAAAGCATTTTCTTTGCCTCTAAACATAATACCAACATTTGTAGCATGTTCTTTTGATGCATAAAAATCTGTATAATCACCAATTCTAGCTGGTAAAAGCATAATAACTTTATCAATTTGATAAAAGATTTTTTCTTTATATTGTTGATTATCTCTGATTGTTGGATTTTCTGATGATAAAAGTTTTTGAAGTTCTTTTCTTGTTTCACTCCAAACTTGTTTACCTAATGACATAAAATCATTTAAATAACCCTAAAAATAATATTTAATATTTAATATTAATATTTATATTTTAATTTTATTTATATTTATATTTATATTTATATTTATATTTATATTTATATTTTTATTTTTATTTATTAATTTAAATTTTAAACTACATACTTGATGGAAAACTTTGGTATCTTTTAATGATGATGATTCAAAAAGTTTTAAATCAACAAGAGCTGATAAATCACAAACTAAATTACCGATAGCAACACCGATTCTTGAAGATTCATTTTCTGATGGTTTGAAAACGCCATATGGAAGATTTTGAATTGGAAAATGTGAATCAGCTGAAACTTCAATAAAACTTTTTAATGTTGACATATTTGTAATATTAATTTTATCTTGTGGATAATGTTGATAATTATTACGATTGAAATAAATTAAAATTATTAAAAACAAAAATGAAAAATACAAAAACACCTTCATAAAAATGAAAATAATTTTAAAAAAATAAAATAAATTAAAAAAAAAAAATATTTTTTAAAAAAAATTAAAATTATAAAAAAAATAAAATAGAAATTTCACACATTATAATAAATAAAAAATTATAATGAAATAAATTAACTAAATAAAAAAAATAAATAAAATTATTATAATAGATTTTAATCATTTAAATAATTCCATTTAAATGGTATGCACCACATCCAGAAATTATTATTAAAATTGGTTTCCAATTTTATATATATATATATGTATAGGATTAATCTAAAAATAGAAAAATTAAAAACTGTTCCGCATATATTTTAAAATATACTTGAAACAGTGATGGTTTCCTCGAAATTATAGAAGATGAATCCCAAACCAAATTATATAAACAAATATGTATTTTCTTTTTATTTAAATTACAACTAATATCTCTAATATATAAGAGCCAATTATTTTATTTAATTTTTTATAGTAATTTATAATTCGCCAGAGTTGGAGATAACAACAGTCTTGGATGGGGCACCTGATTGTGAACCAATACTTTCAATGAGTTTAACAAGATCCATACCTTCAATAACTTCACCAAAAACGACGTGTTTGCCATCTAACCAACTGGTAACAATGGTAGTAATAAAGAATTGTGAACCATTAGCTATAAATAAATAAATAAATAAATAAAAAATTAGTTTATATTACTTTAATTTATGATCATTGTTATTTTTTAATACATACTATTTGGACCAGCGTTGGCCATTGATAAAAGACCTGGTTTGCTGTGTTTTAATTTAAAGTTTTCATCAGCGAATTTTTTACCATAAATTGATTCACCACCAGTACCGTCACCTCTGGTGAAATCACCACCTTGAATCATAAAGTTTGGAATAATTCTGTGGAATTTTGATCCCTAAATTTACAAAATAATAATTAATATTAAAAAAAATTAGTAATTTAATTATTATTATTATTAAACTTTCGATAATAATACATACTTTGTATGAAAGTTCAGTACCTGAAATTTCACTTTTACCTTTTTCACCAGTGCAAAGAGCTCTGAAGTTTTCAACAGTCTTTGGGACAGTCTTACCGTAGAGACCAAAAACGATTCTACCGGCTTTTTCACCACCGATTTCAATATCAAAGAAAACTTTGTTGGTGATTTTTGGTGATTTTGACTATTTTAAAAAAAAAAAAAAAAAAAAAAAAAATTAATTATAATTCTAAAATTAATAATATTCATGATACATACAGATGCATCTGATGGCATAGCCATTAAAGCAACAAAAAGAATAACTGCTAAAATAATAACTCCTTTAATCATTTTTTTTAAAAAAGAAGATTCCTCTGGTTGTTTATCTAATCTTGAGTATGAAGAGTTCATAAAATTTTTTTTTTTCTTTTAAGTTTTTTTAAAAATTATAAAAAAAAAAATTTTAAAAAAATTAAAAAAAATATTTTTTATTTTTTTTTATTTTTTTTTAATTTAACAAAAAATACAGATTATCATCGTCATTCTCACATTAATCACATAGTTTAAACTTTATTTTAATTATTTTAATTATTTTAATTATATTAATATTATTTATTTAGAATAATGCTTTTATTAATAACCTAAACAAAATCCAATATTGTGATTTTAAAAAAAATAAAAAAATAAAAAATATTCAAAAACACAAAAAACAAAACTATTTTTAAAAATAGTTATTTGTTATATTATTATGATTATAAGTTTCTTTTTATAATTAATAAAAAAAAAAGGTAACTATAAGATAACTATAGTATGACCAAATTTTATATTTTTATTTAAATTTAAAGTTATTTGTTTTTTTTTAACCAAATAAATTTATTTTGAATTTATTTTTTTGCAAATACTTTGATTCAAAAAAAATTTTCAAAAAAAAAAAAAAATTCAACAAGATTTTTGGGCTTGTAATTTGCCCACCATTTTTTTTTTATCTTTTGTTACAAACTTCAACCATACAGTTATGTGATTTTGTGTTAATATATAAAAAAAAAAAAAAAAAAAAAAATTAAATCAACAATAGTTTTTAATTTTTTTTTCTTTCTTGTGTATAAATAAATTTTTAAAAAATTTATAATATCAATTGGTATTTTAATTTAAAAATATACAAGTTGCAATATACAAAATATAAAAAATATAAATTATATAGCCCATAATAAAAAATATTAAATATTAAATATTGAATATTAAATATTAAATATAAAATATAATATAATATAATATATAAAATAAACTTTCATTGGTGTGAATTTATTTTTACATCAATTTGTAATAATAATAAAAAATAAATTTAAATAAAAAAATAAATAAACAAACAAATATATAAATAATAACAAATAATAAAAATGACAGATATATTTATTTTAACACCAATATTTCGCTTTCCATCAACTTTTAATAAAAGCGAAATATTTTCAATATGTAGATCAAATATTGAAGGTGTAGATTTAGAGTTTTTACCAATAAACAACGAAAGGATTGGTATTATTTTAAAAGACTCAAGTATGTATTAAATATATACTAACTATTAACCATATTTTAAATTTGTTACTAATTTTATTAATTTATAATTTTTATTTAGAATTTTCAATGGAATCAATTGAGTTTATTTATAAACAAAATGCATTTTTAATGAATCAATTAGAAAGAGTAACTGAATCATTAAACATTTTACAAGAAAACTATGTAAATGACCAAAAGTCAATAAAAAATTTAAAAAATGAAGTATTCATATTAAAAAAGATTGAAAATGATTTAGCAAACAGATTGGAGGATCAAGTTCAGATACAAAGAGAATCGGAATCAAAAGCTGATAAACTAATTATACAAACCCAACAACAGCTAACAGCATCAATAAATATAATTAGAGCTATAACTCATGTACATCCAAATATTTTAGAGGATGATGATTTTTTAACCAATATAAATTGTAATACTAAATCCTCATCTTCATCAAACTCATCACCATCATCACCATACATTACATCGGTAAATCATAGAGATACTATTAACTCCCCAATTTTAGCACCTATATCATCAGCAACCTCAACACCCCCAATTTTAATCAATAAACATAGTTTAAATCATCATCTTCATCATCATCTAAGCGAGACTCTCTCCTCACCATTTTCAATATCTTTAGATAGCCAGTCACCATCACCATCATCTTCCTCTAATTCGTCGACACCGACCACAGTTTCTACACCTGTACCAATAACAGCTCAAAGAAGACCCTCAACTTTTAACCTATCCATTTCTGCCCCTTCAACAGTCAAAGAGGTTGATAAAATCAAACATTTAATAAGTCAATATATAAAAAACTGTAATACTAGCAATAGACCCTATTCAAATAGAAATCACTATAATTTTAAATTTGATTCTACTTTAATCTCAAATATTAATCACTATCACCAACTAAACAATCAAAACAATAATACCACTAACAACAATACTATTAATAATAATAAAAATAATAGTAAAATAAAAAAACTAGCAAGAAGAAACACATTAGGTGATTTAAATTCATTCCTTTACCAAAATAATAAAAAAGATGAAAATGAAGATACAAAATGCAGAAGGTGTCCATGTAATAATTTTCAATCTGGAAATATTGAGTGGTTATGTAAATCTTGTAATCATTCAAACATTAGTCATATAAAGTTTAATGTAAAAAAACCAACTAATAACAATAATAATAATGTAATTTTAAATAATAATAATAACCAATTTTTGTAAATTAATAATGTATTAAAAAAATTTTTAAATAAACTAATAAATTTTATTTAATTAATTAAAATATAAATGAATTTATTTTTATTCTTCATCATCACTATCTGTTTGTTTCTTTTGTTGCTTTTTATTTTGATTAGCTATTGGAGTTTGTTGTTGGAAAAATGCATTTGTTTTATTATTACCAAAAATTGAAGAAACTTGTTTTTTTAATGATTGAAGTTTTTCTTGTGTGATATCGAAAGCTAAACTAGATGAATTAAATGATTTTGGTAAACTTGATTGAAACATTGATTTTGATGGTGATGGTTTGTTTTTAATTGGTTGTTGGGCTGCTTTTTGCTGTTTACCAACCTGTTTTGTTGGTGATGTTATAATACCGTCAATAGATGATGCTTGTTTTCTTTTGACTAAATTTAAAATTGCAATATCGTCATTTGAAAGATAGTGATCCAATGTTGATGATTGTAACTGTTGTGTTGCTTTAGAGCTAATAATGGGCTTGCTATGATTCTTTTTGTTGGCTGCCTTAATTTCATGTAGTTTCTCTTGCTGCTCTTCGTCAGAGAAATCATCATAGTCATCTGGCAAAGTGTATAAGCTGCCGCTGTTGTTTAATGGTACATTGGTTTTTCTTTTTTTACTCTTTAGGAAACTATTACTATTGTGATATGGTTTTTCTGTTTCTGATTCCGAACTATCCTTTTGATCCTCTTCTTCCACTTCATCGTCTTCATCTCCAAACTTTCTTTTCTTTATTAGTTTGTTTTCAAGTTGTTTTAAACGTTGTTCATCTTCTTTTTTGTACATTTCTCTTAGTCTTTGTGTGTTGTTTCTAATTGCTTCAAGGTTTCTTTCTTCATCCTCTTCATCATCGCTATCAACTTCATTTTCATATTCATCACCACTTTCCTCTTCCTCTTCTTCGTCACTATTATCATAATTTGATTTTTGATTAATATTTTGGTTTTCTTCGTCACTATCAACAACATCATCATCTTCGATTGCTTCATCGTCTTCATTACCAAATATCATTGACCTTCTTAAATCTGATTTTTTTCTTTCTTTTTCTTTTCTTATAGCTATTTCACTATCACTATCTTCTTGTTGCTGGTCGGCCTCTTCTTCTTTTTCGCTGGGTTCATCTTCACCGGAACTCATTTGTAAATGTAGAGATGGTTTATATTCATCCATTTCCTCGTCATCTTGTTCATTAATTTGATTATTTTCCTCTTCTTGATCATTATCACTATCTTGATTATATAAATCGGTTTCAATTTGTAGATTTAATGATGATTGATATGGTTGATGTAGCTTTTTCTTTGGTTTAAGCTTTTGTTCATTTTCTTCATCGCTATCTTCTTTTTCCTCTTCTATAGTTGGCCCATTTTCTTGAAGCTCCTCATTACTATTATTTTCCTCTTCATTTTCTTCTTCCTCTTCTTGATGTTCAACATCATCATTATCATCCTCACTTTGAATAGCCTCTTCCTCTTGTTCTTCTTCTTCATTGGCACCTTCTAAATTAACCTCCTCTTCTTCTTCCTCTACTTTTTGTGGTTTTTTTAAAGGTTCAACCTTCTTAAAAAAGTCTAGAATTGAACGCTTTGGTGTGAATTGACGTGGTTTGATTGTGGGTACGGTAACTGGCATCAAAGGTATTTTAGTTTCTTTTTCAGTCTTTTTCTTTTCCTTTTTCTTTTCATTATCCCTAACCCTTTTATCTTTCTTTTTTTGCTTTTCAATTTTTCTATTTTCTTTTTCTTTCTCTTTTCTTTCTTTTTGTAATCTTCGTTTGGTTTCTAAAGTTTCAAACTCCTCTTCAAAATCCTCATCATTGGTTTCGTGGTGATCTTCATTATCATTATTTTGTGAAGCTTCTGGTACATAGTCCTCATCTTCATCTAGTTTGCTAATTTCTTCATCACTATCTTTTTCTTCCTCAATTTCTTCCTCAATTTCCTTTTCTTCCTCTTCTTCCTCTTCTTGGTGTTTTTTTTTAAGTCTAAAAAGTCTTCTATTACCCAAGTCTTTTTCTGGTGTTACAATTTTATCTTCTTCATCTTCACTTTCAATTAGTTTTGGCTCTTTCATTAGCTTAGCGGGTGATGGTGTTCTAATCGATGAAAGTGATGCTCTATCTACAATGTTTTCGTTATCGTCACTACTGTCATAGCTTTCATGGGTCTTTTTAGCAGCTTTCCTCTTGTTATCTCTACCTGTTTCAGGTTTCTTTTTTTTCTCTTGCTCTTGTTGGTCAACAAATGATTTTAATTTATTTGATTTAGTTTCTTTTTTCTTTTTACTTTTTACAATAACTTCTTCTTCTTCCTCCTCATCCTCTTGTTGGTCTTCTTCCTCTTGTTCGTGTTCTTCTTCTTGGTCATATTCTTCTTCTTGTTCTTGCGCCTCCTCAATTTCTTCCTGTGCCCTTAATGTCTCTTTACTTTTTTTAACTACCTGTGCAATTTTTTTCTTTGTATTTCATATTGATATCGATTTTGTTGCTATTTGAAATGGGACAATATCGTCAGGTCACTTGCATTTGGATCGACCTGCCGCTTGTTCTTCTCTGATTTATTTAGATGTTTCTTAAAGTAACTCTCTTTTATCATCGTT